ACTGCCATCACACCTGTAGCCTCAGCTCACAGAAGGCTCCACTCCCTTGATCCCTCTGCTTCCTGCCAGTCGGCCACACCCCTCCTGGCTTCTCTCCCTTCCCTGTCCATCTTATTTAACATTGGTTTTATTCCACTTATATAACCCAATCACTAAACAAACAAACAAGCAAGCAAAAAATCCACCACTTGCCCTGAGTGGTGTGGCTCCATGGGTTCAGCATCGTCCTGCAAACCAAAAAGTCACCAGTTCGATTCTCGGTCGGGGCATATGCCTGGATTGCATTTATTTTTTTAATTAAAAAAAGAAAACAGCTCTTGCCCAATTTAAATTAATGTTTTCTGCCACCATTATGCATGCTATTCCACCTACCTAGAATACTTTTGTCCATTCTATCCACCCAAAGTCCTTCTATTCCTCATTCAAGAATAAGCAAAAATTAATCATTGGGGGAACAAAAATAAACCACAATGATCTACTACCACACATCTGTCAGACTGGCAAAATTAAAGTGTCTAACAATACCATATTGGCAAGGATGTGAAGAAAGAAAACTCTCAGTGCTGGCGGGAGAGTGAATTGATATAAGCACTTTAGAAAAACAGTTTATGAGTATGGTAGACTGAAAAATGTCCGCCAAAAATATGTCCACGGCTTAATCCCTGGAATCTGTGAATTATATGTGGCAGATGTGATTAGAGTAAGGATTTTTTTTTATAAAGATTTTATTCATTTATTGTTAGACAGAGGGGAAGGGAGGAAGAAAGAGAGACAGAAACATCAATGTATGGTTGCCGCTCATGCACCCCCCTGTGGGGACATGGCCCACAACCCAGGCATATGCCCTAACTGGGGATTGAACCCGGTGACCCTTTGGTTCACAGGGTGGTGCCCAATCCACTGAGCCACACCAGCCAGAACTAAAGTAGGGATTTTGAGATGAGGAGATTATCCTGGATTATTCAGGTGGGCCATAAATGTAGTCACACATATCCTTATAAGAGGGAGGCAGGGGGAGATTTGACACAGACAGAAGAGGAGGACATGTGACCACAAAGACACAGAAATTGGAATGATGCAGCCACAAACCCAGGATTGTTGGCAGCCACTACAAGTAGAGAGACTCAAGGAACAAATTCTTCTCTAAAGCCCCGGAAGGGAGAATGGGCCTGAGAACAAACTTGATTTTGGCCAAGTGAAACTGATTTTAGGCTTCTGGCCTCCAGAATCATAAGAGAATACATTTCTGTTGTGTTAAACCACTAGGTTTGTGGTAATTTGTTACAGCAGCTCTAGGAAACTAACAGTGGCATTATCTACCAAACCTAAACACAGTCGTACCCATGTCCAGCAATTCCACTTCTAGGTATTTCCCAAGAGAAATGTAAGCACTTCTCTTATATTCTGCATTCACCAAGAAACATGCAGAAGAATGTTCACAGCATTATTCATAACAGCCCCAAACTGGAAACAACCCAAATAGCCATCAACAGTGCAATGTATGAACTACTTGTGGGCTGTTCATAAAAATGATTCAACTATAGCCCTGACCAGTGTGGCTCAGTGGGTTGGGTGCCGTCCTGCAAAGCAAAAGGTCACAGGTTCAATTCCAGGTCAGGGCACTGGCTGGGTTTCAGGCCAAGTCCCTGGTTGGGGGCAAAGGGGCTTGTGAGAGGCAACCGATGGCTGTTTTTCTCGCACTTTGATGTTTCTCTCCCTCCCTTCCCCTCTCTCTAACTATAAATAAAATCTTTTTTTTAAAGATTTTATTTATTTATTTTTGGAGAGGGAAGGGAGGGAGAAAGAGAGAGAGAAACATCAATGTGCGGTTGCTGGGGGTCATGGCCTGCAACCCAGACATGTACCCTGACTGGGAATCGAACCTGCGACACTTTGGTTCGCAGCCCACGCTCAATCCACTGAGCTACGCCAGTCAGGGCTAAATAAATAAAATCTTTTAAAAAATAAAAATAAAAAAGAGTCAACTGCAAATAAACACATGGAAGAACCTTACACACACACAATGTTAAGCAAAAGAAACCAGACACAATAGAAAACACATTTTATGACATCATTTATGTCAAGTACAAATAAAGATAAAATGAACTATATCACTGAGCAATGTAAAACTAGAAAGTTAAAGAAAAGCAAGACATTATTACTGTCAAAGTCAGGATAGCCCTGGCCAGGTAGCCCAGTCTGTGAGAGCATTGTCCCAGTATGCCAAGGTTGTAGGTTCAGTCCCCAGACAGGGCACATACAAGAATCAACTGATGAATACATAAATAATTGGAACAACAAATCAAAGCCTGTCTCTCTCCTTCAAAATCAAGTTTAAAAAGTCAGGGTAGCATTCCCAGCTAAGAAAAGAGGGGAGCTGTGACCAGGAGGGAGCACATGACACAAAGGTGGCATGGTGGGGGGTGGCTTTTGGGGTGCAGGTCATGTACCCCTTAATGTGAGAGACACAGATGCTTCATGACAACTTAACTATACATTTACGCTTTATGCACTTTTCTGAGTGTTATATTCACAACTAAAATGTACCTTGGTGGTGATGATGATGGTGGTGGTAATTTCCAAGAGTGAACAGGAGCTTCCCAATCCATGAAGCCTTCCTGGGTCCCTCCACCCAGGTCCCTGGGGCTCCACCAGCCTCTGCTGCCTGTTCAGTCACCAGCCACTCTGGGCTGTGAGTCACAGTGCTCCAGTCTGGCTCATCCACCAGAGCAGAAGCCAGCATCCAGTCTAGAGTCCTCTCAGGGACCCCAAAAGAAGCCAGCCCAGGGCCTGACCCACAGGAGGTCTTGGGGAACCTGGGCGTCCATGCCCCAGGCACACAGGGCCTGCTTCACGCTTCCACCTTATGTTGCCAACTTCGGGGCCCACGGCTGTCTGCCAGTATGTGGCAGCACATGGCTACTGACGCAGTGAAGAGGTGGCAGACTCTCCAGGGCCATTTGCCTTTGCCTCTGTCCATCTTTGTCTCTCTACATCCCATTTAGGAATGTCCGCTAGGGTTTAAGCAAGGTTCTCCACCTGGAATGTCTCCTGTCATTCTGTTCTCATCATCTTTCAAGAGCCAGCTGCAGGCTCCTCTCCGTGATACCATGACCTGCCTTCCCCTGAGCTCCCACAGTACCCTGTTTCCCTTGGCTGCATCCCATTCAGAAGTCTGTTTCAATTTCTGAAGCTCTTTGATCTCCCTGGGTTATCCTTAAGGCCTGGGGCTGACCCATTTCTGTGCCTCAGAGGTCAGGTCACCCCCAGCGCCAGGTGTGAGCTCTGGCAAGCCCAGGCGGGCTTCACGATGCAGGAGCTCAGTGAGGATTTAGAGGAGTGAGGCATTGCCTCAAGGTTCCAGCCACTGGGACTGCACTGCACCTGTGCCCTCCAAAGGCCTCAAAGTTACGCTCTTACTTCCCACATGCACGTGCTGGCCAACACGCAGCAGCTTGAGGAGCTAAAAAGAGAACCCAGAGAAAGGGGGTGGGGTGCATGGGAGGGGCCTAAGGGATATGACAGGCTGAGGCAGGTAGTAGGTAAACTGAAGCAGAGGACAGCCCTGACTCTTGTCCAGTAAGGGGTCTAGTAGGGCCCACCATTCACTAGGGTTTGAGACAGGCACCGTGGCTTGAGGGAGCAGCAGACCCTGGAATTAAGCTCAGCCAACAGGCAGCAGTTCCTACCCTTAAGCACAAGCACCCCCAAGTAAAGTTGAACCCCAAACTGGGAAGGTCCTGAGAAGAAAGCCTACTGCGACCCAAGTCAAAGAGTCCCCCAGCTCAAGGGAAGGAGGAGCGCAGAAGCTCCCCCCCCCCCAACCTGACATGGCCCATTAGGGGGGCGCTGCTTTCACCTCAGTGCTGCTGCTTCATCCCCCAGGCAAGCCACTTCCCCTGAGCCCATTTCCTGTCAAACTGGGGGTAAAATCCCTACTTCACACAGCGGGCTAAGTATTAGATAGATCTTGAGCGTGCCCAATAAACCTGAGCTCCCTCCCAGAGACGGTACAGAAAAAGTGGGGTCACACAGCGAGCGGCTGGACCAGGTCTTGACTCCTGGCCAGGACTCACCTGCTAAACCTGCTGCTTTATCCCTTGCACATCACACAGGTCAAGGGTCCTGGATAGGTTCCCAGGTGTGAGCAGGTCCACCCCCTTCCCCAGGGGAGGCCAATAGTTAGAACCCCTGCCTACCTCACCCCAAGCTCCCCAATCCTGGTTCCCTTCCCCATCAGGAAGAAAACCACTGGGTGTTGTGTAAGAAACTTGAGTTCCTAAGCCTGTAAACAAGTGGTGGGGCAAGAGCAAGAGGCCACAACCTCCTGCAGCCACAGGGGGGCAGGAAGAAGTTTGACTTCAGGAAGAGAAAGAACAGATCCAGACTTGAGGTGACTCTCCAGAAGGCAGTATGTGGGGAACCACCTGGGGAGGGATTCCAAGCCTGGCTGCTGTTGTTTGGTTTGCAAACCTCTGAGCTCTCAGCCTCAGAAACAGCTTACCTTCATCACTGGACAAGTTAAAAATACTGGTACTCCCAAGGAACAAAGCATGTGTCCGCAGGGCTGCATTTGTGACTCCAGGGCTACTAGTACAGCGATACCTCGGTACTCATCGTTAATTAGATCATGACGAGTGCTGAAACCAATGAGTACCCAGTGAAGCCTCTTCTTTCACCAGGTGGCATCATGACTCACACAAGTTCTAGCAAGTGTGATGAGTCTCAAAACATTCTTTCTCATCAAAGTGCAATGAGTACTGGGCTTGATGAGGTCTAAAGCTGATGAGTACTGAGGTCTGACTGTACTTCCTTTGACAAATGAAGAAACTGAGGCCCAGACAGGAGGACAAACCTATGGTGGCCACTGACAAAACGACCTAGCATCCTGCTCACCCCCCAGCCCGATTCTGGGCCAGGAACTCCAGGACTGGTACTAGGCCCAGGCTCTGATCAGCTCCTTCCTCCAGCCCATTAAGAAGAGTCCCAGGGAGCCTTGATGCCCATCCACGCCCCTTCCAGGGCAGTTTTATTGGTACCATTTATAAAAGACCTTTCCCATCAGCCCCCAAGCCTTTGCCTTTCTCCTTCTGAGAAAGCAGTTGGCTTCTGGTCCTGGCCCCGTGGGCAACAGCACACACCGTCTGGCAACTGCTAACAACACACCTCACACTGGGTGCAGGTAGGTCCTTGTGCAAGTCCGTGCCCAGCTCTGGGGAGCAGGGGAAGGTGGAGTGCCAGGTCTGTTTGTGGAAGGTGGGCAGAGCCCTGGCAGGCTGCAGAGATGTGTGGGTAAGGTGAACAGGCCCCGTGTGTGCCCCAGCTCCAGTGCCAGGGGTGGCTGAAGCCCAGGGTTGGGGGCAGTAAAATCAGAGATCCTGAGAGAGAAGCCCTTAAGCCAAATAAGTGTGTGGAGCAGGCCAGAACAAGAGCCCAAGAGAGACTTCCAGGGGACAATGTGTGCACACAGCCCAGGGTCAAGGACACAATATGCAGGAGGCCCTTAGTGACTATGTGGCTGTGTGCCCTTTCCTTTGGAATCTACATGCTGGAACCCCTGGCCTCCTGGAGCTGAAAAAACACACCTGAGGGTGGGGGTGGGGGGAGCTTGGGAAGGAAACTCAGCTGGAAGTGGTTTAGGCCTCAGAGCCCACATCCTGTCAGAGAAGCTGTCAATGAGCCAGAGTGTCACGGGGGCTGGCCATCTGTCTGTCTCAGCCCTCAAAGCTGCTGGAGTGACAGTCCCCTAGGAGCAGAGATGGTCTTTATCCTCTCGGGAAGGTGGCCCGAAAGCTAGAAGGTGGGGTCAGTCCTGCCAGATCCAGGATCAGGAGGCCGCTGATGGGCGCCGTCCCCCTTCCTCCTCCATGAGCAGCAGGCGGCGCCGGCCGGCCTCATAGTCAGCCTCGTCCACGCTGACCAGCAGGCGGACAGCCTCCCGGCCGACAGCCTCCCGCAGGGCCTCAGTTAGGAACACGCCCCGCAGGGCCTGCAGCAGGGCGCCACTCAGGTAGTCCCCCCAGAAGGCGTCCAGATAGGAGAGCTCCGAGAACTTGATGTCACACACCACGGAGCCCAGGTCTCGGGAGCGCAGCACTGCCGTGGCCTGCCCGAACACGTCCAGCTGCCGTGCCAGTGCCTGGGGCCGCCGAGATGCCACACCCTGCTCCAAGGCTGGCCCATGTTCGCAGTACTCTGCTCGCACCCTGAGCCGGATGTCTGTGGAGAGAGAGGACTCATCAGTAAGGGGCTGACACCCAACTGGATGCACAAGGAGACTGGCACCCCTCCTCCCTCCCTTGAGCCTCCTCTGTAGGCTCCTCCCATTATCCTGTGGGCTGCACTGCACCTGCCCTACATCCTTCCCCCTTCTGGTAACCACACCCAAGTATGGGTGACACCCTCACATGGCTTTACTCCTGTGGTCTGGCCTGTTACCTCCTGACCTGGCGCCCTCCTCTTCCCCTCACGTGCCCCCACTCTAGCCTCACCACCTCCTTGCTGCCCACTGCCCCCACCCCCAGGCAGGTTCTACCCAGCCCCGAGATGCTCTGTACCAAGTCTGCTCCCTCACTTCCTGCAGGTCTACACTCAGATGTCACCTCCCCAACAGGGCCTGTCCCAACCGTCACAGTTACAGCTTTACTACCACCACCCTGGCTCCCAGCATTCCCAGTTCCCCACACCCTGCTCCATTTCCCCAAGGCGCTTACCACCTCCTCACCTACTCTAAGCTTTCCCTTCCTATCATGCTTATCACCTACCTCCCTACAATGTAAGCTCCCTAAAGGACAGATTTTTGTTGTTTAACTCTGTAGCCCCATGGCACATGGTACATGCTTTGTTCACTTGCACAGACCTGTGGCACACAGTAAGTGCTCAATATATATTTATGAAAAAATCAATGAATGAATGAATGAATGACCCCTTTAGGCAACCAGCCTAACCCCTCTCCCACCTTCAAACAGCCAACCACATTCCCAGGCCCCACCCACCAAGCAAGCACCAGACCCAGGAGACTGAGGCTTGAGCTGGGCTGGCCCTATAGGAACCAAGTGCTCTCTTTCCAGAAGTTGCTAGAATGGTGGGCTGTAAAATGGCAGAGCTGCTGAGGGCCCTCTGCCCCCAGGGAGGGAGAAAACGAAGCCTACGCAGGCAGGGCCAACGATACAGAGGGAAAGACTCCTGAGCTCATCATATGAGCTGCAGAGCACCCGGAGTTTCAGCTATAATTTCTTTTCTGCTGAGGTAAGCCTGAGTTGAGTTTTTTGTCACTTACAATGCTGCCCTCACCCGCCTAAACGAGACAGATGGCAGCTCTGTGTGGTGGACAGGAAGACATGGGACTTCTATGGCTTACCCTCATAAATGTGACCGCAGGAGCATCACCTCCCTTTGGGATTACTGAACCTGCACCTGTGAACCGGGGCTACTAACACACAGCGCAGACCGTCTGGAGGATCAGCTGCAGGCTGCAAGTAACAGCAGTCCAACCGAAGAGCACTGACTACCTGCCAGGCGCCACTCATAGCACTGGACTCCTGTGAAGTCACTGAATCCGCAAACAACCCTGAGAGGCAGGCCCCGTCACCAACCCCACTGCACAGATGAGGACACGGAGGCAAACAGAAGTGCAGCGACTTGCCTGAGGTCACATGGTCGGGCAGTGGAAGCACAGGGCCAAAGCTGCTGAACCCTCCACGCCCCCAAAGAGTAGCTCAGGTCAACGGAGCCAGTTCCAAGCCAGGCACTAGCTATGTGACCTGGGAAGAGTCAGTCTCTCTGAGCCCAGTTCCCCACCTAAACCAGAGGACAATCTCTGCTGTGAAGGCTGTTAAAAGGATTAAAAAGAGCAAAGAATAGAAAGAAACTGGCTGGCGCGGTGCACACACCATGCCCACAGGTGCTCCAAGAACGGTAGCCTCCAACAGCTCCAATGTGCTGGATGCTTTGTCTCAGGGGATTCAGTAGGGTTAGCCCTGCAAGGCAGAGGCCACACTCCACCCCTCTGACAGATGAGGAAACTGAAGCTCTGGGAGGGGAAGTGTCATATCCCAGACTCCCTTTACCTTTCACAGACCGTTTGAGTAGCAGACCGGAAAGTAGAAAGCAGGTCCCTGCTCCCCGAGATGACTTCTCAATACCACCCACTTCCTCCTCCCACTCAAAACCCCAAACCCTTCCTCTTTCTGCCTTGAGAGCAACCTCACTCTGTCTCCTTGAAGTCCAGGGAAGCCTGCCTGGCCTCAGCCCCAGGACTTCGAAGGAAACTCCCTTCACCCAAGGACCAGGTAAGACCTCGGGGCTCACATCCTTGACTCCTTTGAGTGTCTGACCATGCCCTCAATTGGCGTGGGCTGGGGAACAGGGGACTGGGAGGAGCAGCACCTGTCCAAGGCCACACGTGGCTGCTCCATGGCAGAGGCACAGAGCCAGGTGGCGGAGTCAGACAGACCTTGAGGCGAGTCCCAGCTCTGCCACTCTCTAGCTGTGCGGCCTTGGGCATGTGACCTCACCTCTATGAGCCTCAGTTTCCCCATCTGAAAAACACAAACAAACAAGAGGTCCCTGCTACACAGTGGGGTCATGAGGATTCAATGAGGCAGCTTGTGAAATGCCTGACCCAGGGCCTACAACACTCAAGGCACTGAGAAACAGAAACTGTGATTCCGACACCCACCTCTAATCCCACAGCCCCTGCCCAGGTCTTGCCCTCTCTTGCCTGCGCCCCTGAGCCAAACTCCTCCCCCCTCACCTCCTTCTATCCCAGCTACATCCTCCCATGCCCTCCTCTCCAGTCACAAGGAAAGTGCTCTCAGCACAAGCCTCACTCACTCACAAACATGACCTGCCAGCCTTCTCTGCCCAGAACTGCCCACTCGCCCACCATGTAGCACCCAAGTGAATCCTCTCCTGGGTTATCTTTCTCCTCAGCACAGGCTGCTATGAGACCTGTGGCATAAATTGTCTGTCTATTCACACAGAGCTCACCCTACAACCTTGGGGGGTGGCGTTAGAAGGAGGACAAAACCAGGGTGGAGTCATGTGAGTCTCATTCATTCTTTCATTAAACAGCTATTTTCACTGAGTGCCAGCAGCATGGGGTGGCACAAGCACCCTGCCATGGGAGAAACTGGAAGATGTGTAGCCCCCAGAGAGAGAGCACTTCCATGGACCTGGCCTTACCCAAGTCCCTTCCCAGTCTAAGGCCCCCAGGTCTTCCTAGAACCGTCATCACCCCATTTACAGAGGGGTAAAGTCCCACTGGGTCTGGAACACAGCGGAACAGCACACAGAGGCCACGCACCATCTGAGCTGCAGCTCCGGCCCTGGCCCTGGGTCACAGCACACATGCAGTCTCCCTTGGACTCCTCGCCAATGACTCAGTGACGACAGGTGACCCCCGGCAGTTCTGACTCCAGGCTGGCACACACTTCACACTGACTGACCCTTGTGACCATCCCTTCAATGCTATTAGGCAGTGCTGTTATCCCCTTTTAGTAGATGGGGAAACTGAGGCACAGGGCACAAGTCACCTGCCCAAGGCCATGAAGGCAGGACACAGCAGAGCAGGAATTCCAATTGAGGTGCCTGGCTACTGGGCCCAGGGTCTTAACCACCCCTATCTCACTTAGGATTGCTGCCTCTCACAACAGTACACAGAAGCCTGTAATTAGAAGACATCCTGAGGGTGAGGAGAGAAAATGACAGAGCACGAGGTGTAACTTAGACTGAAATGATCACAGAGGACCTCTCCAGGAAATGACCCTAGAAGTGATATGTGAATGAGGACAAGCAGGCCAAGACAGAGACACTGGGACAGAGAATAGCAGCATTCCGGAAGAGAAGATGGCACATGAAAATCCAGAGGCAGAAAATGAACTTGGGACATTCAAAGGCTACAGTCCAGTGTAGCTGCATTACAGTAGAGGAGGGCACAATGGGACAACAGGAGGGAGAGAACTGACCACAACCTGGCAGGCCACCATAGGGAGTCAGGGCCCTCCCACACCTCCCCGCACTTCAGTGGCCTCCTCTGTGAGATGTCCCCACCCTAGCACCTGCTCTCACAGGCCCACTGTGAGGATTCCATGGCTGAACGCAGGCAAGCAGCTGAGGCTGGTCACCTGGAACTCATTTTATCCTTCAAAGGCATCAGGGTGTCAGGAACAGGGTAGGGCAGCAGTCCCAGACGGAAGTAGAAGACACAGAAAGAAGTGGATAGACTGGCCCATGTGTGACAGTGAGAGGCGAGGCAGGAAGAACACCCAGCAAGCATGTGAGCTGGGCTGGGGGCTGGCTGAGTTGTTTCCTGTGGCCAGGAAAACCAAGCATTTGTCGGCAGTCCCACTCCACTTGGGCAACTGTAGGGAAACGTTCCCTGCCCCCAGGACAGAGGATGGGGGTATGTCTTCCTTGAGAGGAGAGCTATTCCTGTTTCCTGCACTCAGGTGGGCCTCAAAACAAAATGGGAGGGACTTGTCAGTGGGAGACCAGGGAAGACATTAGGGACAGGCCCTGGGCCAAGTGAACAGGTGAGTAGCCTTGCATGCTAATCCCTAAAGTAGGTGTGGTGTGGGGCCAGAGATAATCTCCCTCAGGTCTTCTCTCTGGGAGTTCCCAGCAGGGTCGCTGGGGACAAGACGACTTGTGCTCCCATGGTGCCTGGCGCTCCAATGAAAACACCCCTGCCCTCCACTGCCACACAGGGCCAGGACCACCCCCCTCTGGACAACAGCAGCACTCCTCCCTTCCCCAGTCTCTTCCCCAAGAGACAGCCAGAGTCAAGATGTCAAATGAGAAGTTCCCCAACCTCTACTGAAGCAATGGCTCATGGCAGCGAGGAGAAACTGCTCCCAATGTCAGAGAAAGGTAAGAACAACCACCCAGGACGTGAGCTTGAAAAAAATGAAACCTCAAACCAGAATCTGATCAAGCCTTTCCAGCCCCAACTACCAATTTTTAGGAAATACAGACAGAGAAACACATTCAGTAAACCCTAGCACTAGCACAGGATGAAAATGGAAAAATTCAGTCTTTGGGAAGGGCCGTGGGGCAACTTTTCTTTTCCTTTTTTTTAAATCATCACCTGAGGATATGTTCATTGATGAGAGAGAGAGAGAGAGAGAGAGAGAGAGAGAGAGAGAGAGAGAGAGAGAGAGAGAGAGAGAGAGAAACATCAATGTGAGAAATATCAGTCCTAGCTGGTGTGGCTCAGTGGACTGAGTGCCAGCCTGTGAACCAAAGGGTCGCCAGTTCAATTCCCAGTCAGGGCACATGCCTGGGCTGCAGGCCAGGTCCCCAGTGGGTGGTGTGTGAGAGGCAACCACACACTGATGTTCCTCTCCCTGTCTTTCTCCATCCCTTTTCCTCTGTCTGAAAATAAAGAAAGAAAAGAAATACCAATTGGTTGCATCCCATACATGCACCCTGACCTGGAATCAAACCTGCAACCTAGGCCCTGGCTGGTATAGCTCAGTGATTTGGATGCTATCCTACAAACCAAATGGGCCATGGGTTTTGGGCAAGCCCCCACTTGGGGGAGTGCAGAAGGCAACTGATCAATGTTTCTCTCCTACACTGATGTTTCTCTCCCTCTCCTTCTCACTCCCTTCCCCTCTCCCTAAAGATAAATAAATACAAAGAACTTATACACATGACCCATGGACAAGAACAATGGTGGGGGGATTACTTGGGGTGTGGGAGGTACTAGGTGGAGGGGGGAAAGTGGAAAAAAATCACAACTGTAATAAGGTATAATCAACAAAGTATTAAAAATAAACAAACTTAGGCCCTAGAACAAAAAATGAAAATAAAAAATAAAATCTTATACAGAAAAAAAAACAAAAAAACCCTGCAACCTAGCTCTATGCCCTGATGGGAAATTGAACCCACAACCTTTTGCTATTTGGGACAATGCTCCAACTGAGCAACCCAGCCAGGGCTGGGACAACTTCTTTCAACAGATACAATGCAAGGGCGGAAAGAGAGAAAACAGAGATGGCTGGGGAATCCAAAAGATTAGGAGAAACTTAGGAGAACCAACTCTCATGAGACGAGGGGAAATGTGAGCACTAATTAGATATTTGATATTAAGATATTAATAAATGTTGAGGCCATCACCCCTAGGCCTCAACACTGTCTTGAGAATTCAAGGTCAGGGGGGTAGTACACCAGGACAGCACCCAGCAGATGGCCCTAAAAGGGACATGGAAACTCTGAGAGCATGTGTCCAAGCCCAGGACCCCACCCCACTTCCCTGTGTCCCCTTCCTCACACTCTACAGCCCTCAGGAATTTAGTCTGGTTCTACTGTAACAGGGTGCAGAGTGGGGAGTCCCCAGAAACAACAGAGTATATTCCCCACAAACCTTGGTGGGGGGAAGAGAGAATGGGTGATACAGCCTTTAAAATACTTTACGTAACAATGGCAAGTTAATAGCTGTGCTGCCACCCAGGGTAAAAGGTGTATACCTCAGGAAAAGGTGTATGTGTCTTTAAGGGCCTATAGTGACCCGTGACACAGTCAGATGTGGATGCCCACCCTGATGTCCCCGTGTCACAGGAAACAATTGCCCTAAGGATGATAGCCAAAAGAAGGAAAAGGATACAGAAGAACTGGCAAAAAGAACACATCATAGGAGGGGCCAGATACGAGGTCATATAGGAGTTCCAGGCAGAGCACTTAAAATAAGGGTGGGCTGAGAGAGTAAGAAGTGGACACCATGAGGAGGAAAGGGGGTAAAGGAGGGCCCGGTCCACCATGAGATCTGAGGGTGTAGAGAGAAGCAGCCATGCAGGCTGAGAGCAAGGAAGCAGCCACACAGGAGGAAAGGAAGGAAGGAGAGCACTGATGAAGCCGTGCAGGGACCTGCCTGATCAAGCACGGATTTGTGGGGGAGGTTTGGAGCTGAAATGAACTGTGAACTGTAACCGAGAATGCAGACCCCTGCTTCTCTGAAGGGCCTACAGAGAAGCCACTCTCTTGGGGCGTGTGCCTCCCTAGACTCCACCATGATCCAGTGTAACACAGCATGTGACTTCCTGGACTACTACATAGAGGCGAGGACAATGCACCCCAGGTCCTGGAGGAGAGAGCTGCAGTGAGAGGATGGCAAATCTGGAATCCACAAATGCACATTCCTGAAAGGATGGAGATCTGTTTACATAGCTGCAGTGGTCTTAAGAAGAGATAAGGATATGGGGAATTTCTAGGCATGGTTCTTTCTGGAGAACAAGGTACGTGCTGGGTCTCACAGGAGAACAGGGCTCTGAGCAGGGGTGCTCTCACCCCCACAAGGATAGAATCCTATTAATAAAAACCTGTTTCCTTCAACACTAATTGCTGGGTCATGTGTAAAGGTGCCGAGTGGCCGAGACCCGATTTGCTCGATTACACCACCACTAAAGGGAGTGCAGCCGAGGGAGGGGCAAACCCCAGAGCTGTTACAGGTGAGGAGGGGACAAGAACAGCAGGATCCTTCCTCACTCAGGTCTTAAGAGGCCTCTATCACTCCTGGGACTAGGCCTTTCATTAAAGGGAAGCCATCTTTGCTTTCAGAGGGAAAAACCAGGGCCCTAGTGAGGAGAGCCTCAGTCCAGCCCCACCCTGCCTGGTGAGTCAGCACTCAGACCTGCTTACCCATCCCCCCCCGCCCATCAAGGGCCAGCCACACCCTATGAACAACCTCCTTGCCCTCAAGGAAAAGACCTGATGCCTCTACAGGCAAAACGCCTCCCAAGCCTCAGCTTGGCTTGCTCCCTAGGGAGGCAGTGACTCCCTGGGCAGCCCAGCCAGCCTGGTGACTCTGATAATTATCCCTGACTGTGGGGCAGGGCAAAGTCATGACAAAGCAGCCACCACTCAAGGTCTACCCGTCTCTTCCTCCGACCTGCCCAGCAGTCTCACCTAGGGAATCCGATGCATAGCCCACAGCCTGGGGGTGGCAGGCATGGCCTCTCTGCAGATAGCCAGAGGTAGCATCTGGGATCCAAGTTTCCTGGGGAATGCAGGGCTGCTTCAACCTGGGACCTTTGCCTGTAATTCTACCACCCTCCCACCCCCGCCTGAGCATCTCACCATCTGATCCCATGTCCATAGGCTTGCCCGACTCAGAGGATGTACCAGAGATGTGAGGGGGGAGTATGTGAGAGAGAGTGTGCCCACCCAGGCCTGTGCCCTTCCTTCAGGACAGGTGCAGTTTCTCAAGGTCAAGGTCTGAGCCTGCGTCTCCACAGTAGTCCCCTCAACACACCCGACCTAACTTGCCTGCAGGTCCAGTCAGCTGTATATCCCTCTTTCCTTAGTCCACCCCCTTCTCGCCCTCTCCAATGTGATCACCTCTCCTGCTCGCTAGAGTTGAGCAGCCTTGTCACTCATTTGCTGCTTCCACTTTAATTTACTTCCCACACCTGACAGGGCATGTACCACGTGCCCCGAGTTATTCTAAGTACTTTACAAACCCTAACTCACCTATTAATTGGTTTTCCAGATGGGGTCAGAGTTCCTTTAAGAACAGGTATCAGACCACTTCAGTCCCTGCTCAAATCCCTTAGCAGCACTTGCTGCATGGAATAAAAGCCAAACCCCCACTTACTTGGAGGCCTGCTGGGCTGCTCCACCTGATCCCCACGATCCCTGCTCTCTCTTCCTGGGGCTTACTGTCTAAAATGAGCTTTGGTTTCACTGGTCTGTCACTCTACTAGAAAGAGGGTCACTTCTACTAGGGCAGGGACCTCACTGCTGTTCCTGTACCTGGCACAGCGACAGTGAGAAGGGAAAACTGGTGCACAGGCCCAGGCAAGGCACTGTTCCGCATGTATGATGTGTGTTAGCTCATTTTCTCCCAACAACCCTGGTGGGAAGGTACCATTATCAGCCTCACTTTACAGATATGGTGACTGAGGTGTGGAGGGGTTCAGTCACCTGTCCAAGATCAGACTGCTAAGGCCAAGAGGCAAATGAGGCAGCTTGCCCCAGGATGCCATTTTTGCCCCTGCACAAGAATTAATCGCTGAATAAATATACCCTTGCAAATGTTTGCTAAGTAAACAAATGAAACTGGTGGCAGGCAGCAGGCTGTCAGGGAAGGCTTCTAGAGGAGGTGGCACAGGATACTATCCTTCAACTACGGGCAGAACGTAGATAAGCAAGATTAAGAGAGGAACAAGAATTCAGCTGCTAAACAGAGGGATAAGAACTGCTGCCCACCTGCTAGACGTCACTAAGTGTACCAATCCCCAGGCAAGTCCCTATTCCTCCTGTCCTGTGGCTCAGCAGCCTGCCCCAGGCACTGTCTGCACACTCCCCAAGCCCCACAGATACCTACCGCAGGTCACTTTGCCTTCCGAAGCGGGTCTGGCCTGCTCCTGCTGCTGCCGAGAGGCGGCTGGGCCCCCTCTCCGTCGCCGTCTGGCACCACCACTGGGCCGGCCCCGACTCCGCCGCTGCCGCTTGGTTGGGAGAGAGCCTGAAGGGAGAAAGATGGCATGGCTAAGGACCAGATGATAGGTAGAGCACCAAGGCAGACTGCCAGAGCTGGAGGAAGAGTTTGAGGTTGGTCCCTGTGCAGTGGGACCCTGGGTGTGCACCTCTGCCTTGGCGGCCCTGTCCATATGACGAGGAGTAAGTACAACCTACCATCATTTAGAAGGTCAGGCAAGCACCCCCTGACCCAACAATGCCACTCCCAGATGTGAGCACACAGAAACTCCTGCACTTTCACACCAGGACACCAGCATGGCAACAGCCACAGGGCTTTGTTTATAGCTTGCAAGTGCATGCACTTGAAATCAGTGTAAATGTGGAGCAAAAATAATAAAGTAATTTGCAGCTAAGGTGCAAAAGAGACATCTGCATCTTGCTATACTTCATATAAGAAAGGAGGGTAAACAAAAATATATACATATTTGCTAATTTTGCATATAAATTAGAAATTAATGAAATTCATTACCCATTTACTGGAGGGAAGAACAGAAGTGATACTCCTAAGAACATCTTTTTTACATAGTTTAGTTTTGATAATCAAAAAAATTTCTTTTAACGATCAGTCAAAAATTTTTAGCCCTAGCTGGTGTGGCTCAGTGAACTGAGTTCCAGCCTGCGAATCAAACGGTTGCTGGTTCGATTCCCAGTCAGTGCACGTGCCTTGGTTGCAGGCCAGGTCTCTAGCTGGGGGCACACAAGAGGAAACCACGCATTGATGTTTCTCTCCCTCTCTTTCTCCCTCCCTTCCCCCTCTCTAAAAAAATAAATAAAATATTTTTTAAAAAAGATGATGGGCATCAGAAAACCTGGATAACAAATTAAGAAACCAATTAGAATTGCAGATTTTTAGGTTTAAAAAAAATTTTAAAGATAAACCATAAAATCAAATATATACAGAAACAAATGAAACTAACCCTGTACAAAACTGTAACATAAACAGGTGGAGAAAATAATTATTTCAAGTTACTTGGAGGATCATTGCAAATGCAAACTCTCAGTGAGAAATATTCCCAAGGACCAGAACCACAAGTCTGTGGTTTCTTCCAGTACAGAGCCGGCAGTGGTACTGACACTATAATTTTGAAACCATTTTTTTTTGTTATACAATAAAGCAAATAAATCCATATCTCAATGTTATTAAAAACCAAGATTTTGCCCTGGCTGGTGTGGATCAGTGGATTGAACCGCAGGCGCCAGCCTGTGAACCAAAGGGTTGCCGATCCGATTCCCAGTCAGGGAACATGCCTGGGTTGCAGGCCAGGTCCCTGGTGCGGGGCGCATGAGAGGCAACTACACATTCATGTTTCTCTCCTTCTCTTTCTCCCTCTCTCTAAAAATAAATAAATAAAATCTTCAAAAAATACACCAAGATTTTCAGTGTAAAAGAAAAAAGTCCTTGTACTCTATGTTAATTTTGAATTAAAAATACTAATATGGCCCTAGCCGTGTAGCTGTGTAGCTCAGTTGGTTGGAACATGTCCTGATAATCCAAGGTTTTGGGTTCTATCCCTGGTCAGGGCACGTATGAGAATCAACCAGTGAATGCACAGATCAGTGGAACGGCAAACTGATATATGTGTGTGTCTCTCTCCCCCTTCCCCACTCTCTCTCTAAAAATTAATAAATAAAATTTTTAAAAATTTAAAAACATTAATATGAACTTTTTTCCCCAAAGAGAGGAAAGGAGGGAGAAAAGAGGGAGAGAAACACCGATTAGTTGCCTCTCTCATATCATCCCTACTGGGGACTGAACCTGCAACCTAGGCATGTGCCCTGACCAGGAATCAAATTGGTGACCTTTCACTTTGCAGGATGATGTCCAACCAGCTGAACTTCATCAGTCAGGCCCTAATAGGAATTTTTATTTTATTTTTTTAAAGACTTTACTTACTTTTAAAGAGAGGGGAAGGGAGGGAGAAAGCGTGGGAGAGAAACATCAATGTGTAAGATGATACATCAATCAGTTGCCTCTTGCATGCCCCCAACTGGGGATCTGGCCTGCAACCCAGTCATGGGCCCTGACTGGGAATTGAACTGGCAACCCTTTGGTTCACAGACTAGCACTCAATCCACTGAGCCACACCAGCAAGGGCAGGGCTTAATATGAACTTTTAAAAAGCACAGTTTCTGACTCTGTTCACTGAAAGAGCCTAGAAATGATGCACATACTCAGCACCCAGGTCTTGATCTCTAAATATCACTGCCTCTAAAAGCAATCAGCCTTCTCAAAGAGCTGACTAAAGGACTGGGGAAGGGAAAGTGCAGGTGAGTGCCACATCTTGCAGTGCCACAAAGCAGGAAGCACCCAGTGCACGATAGAGACTCATCAAAAAGACAAAGAAGCTAACCAATCTAAACAATGACTAATTGATTATAACACAATAAATAAGAATGTGTGAGTCCATAGTGATACTCCCCATCAAAAAGAAAGGGGGGTGGTGGTAGAAAGAAAAACCCCTCTTGAAAAAATGCCAGCTAACAGATGTAGGAAAATGAAAGAATTAGAAAATCACCATTTTCCAAACACCAACATAATAACTGGTTCAGGCAGGAATGGATGCTAAGCCCACTGGGGATCCTGCTGGAGAACAGGATGTGCCAAGGTGTCAGCCCACAGATTATTTACTAACCATGGGGGGGGGGGGAACATCCCTTTGCAAAGGACAAATATGGCAGACACCACCTTAACCAAGTGATCAAACTTGCCACACATGACAGTAAGACCAGACCTTCTGCTTCCTAATGTGCTCCAATGAGAAGAAGCACACAGCATCAACCAAGAAGCATTACTTCCAAAAACATGGAACCTGAATTGAATCTAGACTCCAGTCCAAATTCCCACTTCACAGGAAACATAGGGGACAAAGGGACAAGTTAAACGACACCATTAGAAAATTATTACACTCCAGAAATAATTCCAGTCATTCCACAAAATAAGTGGCCTGGTAGGATCAGGAAGTCAATATCAAGGGGAAAAGGAAAGGGTATGGGTGGGGGAGGAGTTTCATTTCTACAGTAAAAGATTAAGGAGACATAATAACTAACAACTCAACTACGAGGGGATCCTGAAAGTGAAGACACTCTTACAGAGATATGAAAATGGACCATTAGAATATCAGAGAATTAACTGTTTACTTTCTCAGGTATGGTAATGGTCTTGAAGTGGTAGAGAAGAATCTCCTTATTATCAGGAGATAGCTATTAATTTAGGGGTCAAGTGTCCTGATGACTGGAACTTACTTTCAAAGAGTTCACCAACAAAAAAATTACATACCTACACATAAAACAAAAGTGGCAAAACGTATCTAAAATTACCACATCTAGGAAGAGAAGAACATGCTCACTGTACTAATCTTTTAATTTCTCTGTATGTTTGAAATTATGTATGAATAATTAAAAAATGCAGCTAGGGGAGATTGGATAAATTATTAATTGGCATGACAATAAAAAAATACCAATTAGTTACTCAACATGAATAAATCCAAGAAACGTGTCCAGCAAAGACAGCCATGTGAAGAATGATAAACCCATGGTATGATACCATTTAGATGAAGTATAAGACCACTAGAAACAACTCCATACATTGCTTCTGGACATATACTTTTGTAGGAACAATGAACATACAAAGCAAAAATGAGACAGAATGACCCCTTTTGCCATTTTCTTGATGGGCCAAGATGGGGGCAGTTCATCAGGGTTCAAAAGGGAGAGAGGGAAACTGCCTTCACACCCACCCAGCTGGACTCACCTGTCTCCCACTGGTCCTGCTGAACATCTGAAGAGCTGCTAGACTGCCGACGGCGACGGCAGCTGCCCTCCGACCTCTTTGTAGAAGAGCTGGAGGTGCCATAGTTATAGCGTTCTGGAGATACTGCGGGGAGAGAAAAACGGAAAGAAGTATTCACAGCTTCTGGCCCTCCCAGGCCCAGCCTCCAATTCCCACCCCCTGAGAGGAACACCTGCCCCACAGGGTGCCTGAGTTCCCCAGAGGTCAGAGTCCAGATACCCACTCCCTCTCCAACACTTCCTGCCCAGTGGTTGCTCAATGCCTCCCAATACAGAGGAGGAGCCAGTCAGAGTTATTTTGTGAACTGAGTCATGGTCAGGATGCCTGCAATGTTGCCTGCCATCACTGCCCCCAGCTCTCCCTGAGGCCCCAAGGAGTAAGCTGGCCTCTCCTCAGGCTCCCCAAATCTTCTCTTCCAGAGCCTAACCTCCAAATGTATTTTTTCAAAAGCGATGTCAGTTTTTCCCTAGTGTTGCCCTTCCCGTGGTTATCCAAATCCCATGGGCTTATTCTGGGCAGGGAAGCCTCACAATCCCCCTCCCCAAACTAGCCCCTGTACCTGGCCAAGTAATCCCACCAAAGGCTCAACAGCTCAAGGCCTATGCACATATGGGGCTCCTGTGCCTTAAACCCTCCTAGCTCCCCGCCTTCTCAGACTGCTGTCCTTCCCTCACAAGGATTAAGAGCATTGACTCTGGACACAAACCAGCCAAGTGTGAATCCTAGCTCTCACTTTCTAGCTGTGTTATCTGCAAGCCTGTGATATGACTTCTCACCTACCTCTTTGCCCTTTCTTCAGTCCCCTCTGCTTGTGCTACAATGACCTCTGATGACGCAAAACTCAGTCCTGCCTCAGGGTTTCAAAGCTTGCCTTTTCCTCTCCCTGGGATTTTCTATGTACGGTGGCGGCATCGCAGCCTCAATTCAAATGTCACCTTCTCAAAAACGTCTTGACTGGTTACTCAATATAAGGGGGCCTCCCCTCACTCAGGACTCCCTTCTTTCTATGTACCATTACTTTGTTTTAATCTTCTTATATCCAGATGCAGAAACACATTATTTATCTGTTTTACTATCTGATTCCCCTATTAATGTATGCCTCACTAATAAGCACTCTGTCAGTCCGGGCACATTGTATCTCCTGTGCCAGGAACAGAGGACTCACTTCTCATATGTGAGCAAGCTGCTTAACTTTTCTGAACCTGTTGTTTTCCCAGTCCAGTGAGAAGTAAAAGGACTTCCTCATGGGATTATCAGGAGGATATATGGTGCTACTTTATAATGAAAGGCTTACTCTGTGTCTGGCATGAAACAAGCTCTCCGTAAACAGTGGCCACAAACATCATTATTGCTCTGGCCAAATTCCACAAGCTTGCCTCTCAAAGCCTTGCCTCCTCCTTCTTGTGTTTCTCATTGATATTCTGGGAGGAGGGGATAGTGAGATGGGACACAGGTTTTCTGATATGGCCCTGTCCATATCAGGGCCATGGAGGCTCCATGAAGGCTCAGATGAGGAGCAAGGCCCTCTCCCCACCGGAAGTCTATCACCTTCACATTCAACCTTACCTGGCCGGCGCCGCTTGCGCGCCAGGTGTGGTAGCAAGTCATGCCGGGCCAGCACTCGAAGGAGTTGCCCTAGGAGTCGCAGGTTGCTCTCGTCGCATTGCCCGCGGCGCTCCAGCTCCAGCAGCAGCTCCAGGCCGCTACGGGCGTTGGACAGGCCTCCGGCGGCGCCGGGGGCCTCATCCAGCAGGAAGGCCAGCAGATCCAGTTCGCGCTCAGTCAGCTGCCCGCCCACCACCTCGAACATACGATGAAGCGACAGCATCCCGTAGTAGTCCAGGCACTCATCCTCCTCCCAGCTCGGGGCAGGGGTCGACCCAGACAGCGCCATACCCGGGGAAGGGGGTGGAACAAGCTCGAGCCAGGGCCTAGAACCCACTCAGCGGGGAGGGGGCAGTGATCAGCGACGTGGAGACCCGAACGCCAACCTCGCCAGTTGCGTCCCCCAGTTCCCGACCTGCGATGCAGAGCCACCCTCACACCCCAGAGGTCTCAGCCTCCCCTCCTCCCGAAGGGCATGGTATCGTCCAAGGTCCCCTAGTAACAAGTCAAGACGCCAGACCTCACCGGACCTCCGATCGGGCCGCAGAGCCCAAACGCCCCTCCCTAAATGGTATGTCCCGAACCAGCCTCCGGAACCGACCAGGTGATTCGGTCCGAACAAGCCTGGGGGCCGATCCCGGGGCACCCTAACCACTGACCTTTGACTCCGGTTAGTACTGTCCGGACGTGCCCCTGGGCTCCGTCCAGCAGTACTATCCGATCAGGCCCACGGCTCCGCCCGAGTGATACCGTCCGAAAGTGACCCCCCGGCCCCTACAAGTGGGACCGACCAAACCAGCTCTCGCCCCCCACACAGGTGGTGCTGACTGAACCCGACCCCAACGCACTGTACGGATGGTACCGCCCTCTCCCTAGACCCAGGTTGTTTCGTCTACCCGTCACCAGTCGCCCATAAGCCTCTCTGGATCCTCACCGGAATCCGGCGTCTGATGACTCCTGGGCGACGGCCGCAGCCACTTGTTTTGGATCTTTCTGGCACCTTCTCTATTATTACGCCTGCGTCACCTCGCCCCTCCTCCTTCCCCCAACTCGCGCAGGTGCGACCGCCACGCCCCTTAGGCGCAAGCGCAGAGTAAAGCGCTCAAGTCCCGCCCCTTGGGGTCCGCCCTCAACCGTAGCGTCTGAGCTGTCTTGTGCTGCGCCTGCGCAGAGCGATATCGGTTATGCGTATGGATTGGAGTTTGTACAAGATTGCTGAGGTGCTTCTGCCAGCGTGATTAAACCTCTGGGTTCTTGTTATCCCACGTCACGACCTTTTGGAACTACTCATTTCATGGGCTTCAGCCCCTCCTAATCACGATCTAGGCTCCCACAGTATCATTGCACCCAACTGCACATGGCAAAGACCACAATCACGACCAACCTTCCTGGCTCTGAATAGTGCCCAGGCCCTTATGATCAGAATTTAGACGCTCTTCCTTTAGATTGACTGCCCCTCACTCCTAATGGCAACAAGGAACCTGCAACCCAACTGCGCCATCTCATGATCTCAACTGGAATCTCTCGTCATCTAACACAACCCTCAATCCCCATCTATAAGTTCTTTCCCCTGATCAAGACAAGTACTCCCACATCTCATGTTAGGAACCCATACCTCCTTCCTGATTGCAATAGACCCCTCCATCCCGACCGTGCACCTCCTGAGAGCATCCACCACAAGCCCCCCTACCCCATAACCCCTTCCAGTCTGCCCTTCAAGGTCACAGGACCTCCCAATAGCCCCTCTCTAACCTGAACCTATTAGTTTATTTTGGGGAGAGTGGGTGTCTCATCAGAAGAGCTAGAGTCCAGGCTGCGAGTATAAGCGTCCTCATCTAGGCGGAGTTTTGGGAGTGGCGGCCACCCCAACCCCCACTTAGGTGACTCAAGGTCAAGGCCCATACCTGCCCTGAGAGAGGTTCCCTCCTGGATCGGTTCCCACCTACGGAATTAGCTCCCCTTAGGAGGCGGGAGAGCTAGGTCCTGCCTGGCACTGGTTCAGCAAGCACTGATTCTGCTGGGACTGCAGCAGTGACGTCGGAAGAGTCCCTTCCTCTGATGGCAGTTGTAAGCTCTCAAAACCCAGTTCTGCGTCGGACACACGTTGGTGCCCAATAAGTGAATGTCATTAAATCAACAGAAGAGTGGAAGGAAAGAGAAAGCACATTGGGAAGGAGTATGTACATGTTAAATGGGTTTTAGTGAGCACCCACGGTGTATCAGGCCCTGTGCTGAGCATTTTTGTGGGGTTGATTTCATCCAGTTCCCTCAATAACCTTGAATATGATTCAAGCCCATTTTACACAGGAGTGACAGTGAGGGCGAGAGAGCGGAAGTACTCCAAGTCTGTTGGCTCCAAAGCTGAACTCTCAAGAGATGCTCAGTCTCTTCAGCTATGAAATGACACCTCTGTCAAGTGCTCCCGCCGCCCAGTCCACTCCGAGAGCCCTCACTTTCCAATGGTGCCTATCCGCTCCTCTCCACTCAACTTTCGGACTTGGCAGAGAAGCACCCAGAAGCACTGCGCAAGCGCTTCTCCAAGCCCGGAGCCCGGCCCACAAGGCACAGTTGTGTGCGTGGAGAAACTCACCGAGCCCCGCCTGAGCTTCAATACGCAGGCTCAAGGGCGCTTGCCCTACGCTGCCGGCTCTGATTGGCCACCAGAGATGAGGGTGCCGCCCAATGGGAGGTGTGGATAGTGAGGGGTGCCGCACATCGGGAGCAGAGGGTCGGTGTCAAGAGCGGCGGGGTCTGCTGGAGTGAAGAGAAACGGGTGAGGGGCGCCGCAGGGCGGGCGGGGGAAGAGAGCGCTAGAGGAACGGAGAGAGTGGAGGGAGAACGAAGGGGACACCAGGGATCAAAGAGCTTTGGGGCCTACGCTATGGCGGGAGTGGAAGGAGAGCACTCCTTCCTATGTGCTCTGGAGCATTGAGCTATCGCGGTGTGCAGGACCCAGCGCTTGAGCTCGCCGTTCCCCGATTCCTTGCAGGGAACTCTTGGCTTATGGAGTTGATATATCTGGTCAAAGCAAAAGGGCTGTGTAGCGGTGCAGCGCAAAAGTTGAACTTCCAGGCCCCTAGTGAGTTCTTTCGTGGAAGGACTTGTGACCCACTGTATAGAAAGTTCCCATTCCTCCCCCAATAGTTTGCAGTCCAAAATTGGTAAGCGGGGAATGTAAACGAGGAAGTCCAAATGTTAGGTCTCTTGGGCTACCTTCTAGAGGGTCATTTCCTGGGTGCCTGTTTTGCGTAAGCTTCACGTCAGGCGCTGGGCCTCATCCTAGAGGAGTTCTCTGTTTGTAATGAGGCTGTATACAAGGAAAAATTGAACTCTCGGGCCCTTGCTTGACTACTTCCAGAAAGATCCTTTATTGAATGGCTATTGTGTGCATGGCCCTGTCGACTAAAAAATTAGGGAGTTAAGGGAAGTCTAGTTTCTGGGCTTTTAGTGAATTATTTACTCAAGGTGCATTTATTGGGTGTAAACTGGGAGCAGGACCCTGTGCTGGGCTGCTATTGTGGGAATTACAGTCTAATAGGAGAATTGGTCTGGTGGGAGAGGTAGAAGGTCCAGGGGCACAGTTAAACGCTCTGGGCCTCCCTTTCCGGAGGGAGCATTATTCATTCACTAAATATCTACTCAGTGCCTATTTCGTGCCAAGCATTGTTCTTGGTACTGAAAATATATCATTGATGAACACACTAAAAATCTTTGCCCTCTGGGAGCTTAATATGAGCAACTTTTATGTGCCAGGCTGTAAACTGAATTCTACCAGCCTTCTGGCACTAACAGATGAGTTGAAGAAGAGATAGAGAAGATGGAAATTGAATTTGGGAAGTTTACTCCTACGCTTGTGAGGTTCGGGGGAGCAGTCATTTGCTGAAGGGACCTGGGTTGGATTGAGCCCACACATCTAGAGATGGGGCAATAGAGAAAAGGGCAATAGTTAAAATCCCTGTCCCTGGTCTGTGGTTATGTTGGTGACAACAGTCCTATAATGAATCAGACCCTCTTGCCTACAAGCTCAGTGGGGAGCACAGAAACTTCATCCCAAGTTCATGATAATTGCTATGACAGAGGTGGCACTGGATGCCATAGGAACCCTGAGGAGGAGGGGAGTGGCCACCAGCTTGAGACTGTAAACATGTCAGAAAAGCCTTCACAAAGGAAATGCTGGGGAGGGGTTTGCTAGACAAGAGGAGGAGAGAACTTCCTTGGCAGAAGAATAAATAGCAGCATCAGGACCTAGGGTCCAAAAGCATTTCTGGATGACTACAAGTGGTTTTGTCTAGCCTTTATCAAGTACCAGGGACTTTGTGATCAGTACTACTTTTAGCCCCATTTCTCAAGTGCGAAAACAGTCTGAGGGAGAGGAAGCAAGTGGTGGAGCTCAGACTCAAGCCAAGAGCAGTCTGGTTCCAGGGTCTGAGCTCTTAATCTGTTGGCTTTGCTGCATCTCTGTGTCTCCATGCAGAAGGAGGAAAGGTGCTGCAGAGAGAAGGAACTGCACAGGCAAAGGCCAAGAGGCCCAAAAAGACATGTATTCTCCGAAGTGGTGTGGCTGGCCCTCTGGGTAAGGAGGGCAGCATCAGAGGCCAGGCAGAGGAGGGCTGTCTCTCTCCTGCAGATGTCTGGGTGTCATGGGACGTGTGTCAGCTTCAGACTCACAGGCTTATTGAAGACTGAGGCATAAACACTGAATCTAGACTCAGTGACTGACAGAAACTAGTGAGCAACAAGATGGGCAAGGGAATTCCTGAGATGTCCCCTCTTCTCTTAGATTCCTGGTGTCTCACTAGCTCCCTTCCTTCTCCAGGTACTGCCTTCCCCACAATGGCAGACATGGTGGCTGAGGTGGCTGACATGGCCGAGATGTCAACACAGATGTCACCAGAGGCAATGGAGATGCCGATACCAGTGTTCAGGGAGATGACAGAGATGTCAGCAGAGGTGGCTGAGATGAAACCTGGAGAGGCCCTTGCCTCATCCCTCTTTTTCCAGCACCACCAATTCATGTGCTCTGAGTGTGGCAACCTCTACAACACACTGGAGGAAGTCATCTCACACCAGGAGCAGCATGTACCCATTGTCACAGAGGAGGAGGCGCTGACCACCCAGGATGCTGGCCTGGAGCCGGAACTAGTGCCAGGTACTGAGGATGGGCCTTTCCAGTGTGGCGAATGCAGCCAGCTCATCCTCTCCCATGGTGAGCTCCTGGCCCACCAGGACACCCACCTCCAGGAGTCTACAAGCCAGATCCAGTACCAGTGTGGGGACTGCCAGGAGCTGTTCCCCTCACCTGAGTTGTGGGTGGCTCATCGGAAGGCCCAGCACCTTTCTACTGCAGCAGCTGGACCACCAGTGCCACCACCTCCCCCTCCTCCAGCACCACCACCTCCACCCCCTGATCCACCTGGAGTCAAGATGGAGCCCTACGAGTGTCCTGAGTGCTGTACCCTCTGTGCCACCCCTGAGGAGTTCTTGGAGCATCAGGGAACCCACTTTGATTCCCTAGAGAAAGAGGAATGCAATGGCCTAGAGGAAGATGAGGAGGATGAAGAAGATGATGAAACAGAGGAGGAAGGGTTGACAGCAGAGGTTGGTGATGATGCTATAGAAGGCAACAAGTCCACAGCCAGCCAGGCCCAGAGCTGTGGGGATTATCACCAACACTGGACCTCAGCAGGGGCACGCCGGCGACACCGGCGGGCATCCCATGGCCCAGGGTCAACAACCCATCCCTTCAGCTGCAGCCAGTGCCAGCGCTGCTTCAGCTCAGCAAACCGGCTGCTGGCTCATGGGCGGGCCCATGTTGGTGGCACACACGAGTGTACCACCTGCTTCAAGGTCTTCAAGAAAGCATCCTCCCTGGAGCAGCACCTGCGGCTGCACCGTGGGGAAGCCCGCTATCTCTGTGTGGACTGTGGTCGTGGCTTCAGCACAGAACTCACATTGGTGGCCCACCGGCGGGCCCACACCGCCAACCCATTGCATCGGTGCCGCTGTGGCAAGACATTCAGCAACATGACCAAGTTTCTCTACCATAGGCGCACCCACGCCGGCAAGAGCGGGGCGCCTCCCGCCACCACAGCAGCCTCCCTAGCTCCAGCTGAGCCCCTGCCCCCGCCACCGCCCCCTACCCCGCCTGCCCAGCTGCCCTGTCCACAGTGCTCCAAGTCCTTCGCCTCAGCCTCCCGCCTTTCCCGGCACCGGCGCACGGTCCACGGGCCCCCTGAGCGGCGACACTGCTGCGGGGTTTGCGGCAAGGGCTTCAAGAAGCTAGTCCATGTGCACAACCACCTACGGACACACACGGGCGAAAGGCCCTTCCAGTGCCACTCCTGTGGCAAGACCTTTGCTTCTCTGGCCAATCTCAGCCGCCACCAACTGACCCACACAGGTGTGCGTCCCTACCAATGTCTAGACTGTGGCAAACGGTTTACACAGAGCTCCAACCTGCAGCAGCACCGGAGGCTGCACCTGCGGCCAGTGGCCTTCGCTCGTGCCCCCCGCCTCCCCATCACTGGCCTCTACAACAAGAGCCCCTACTACTGTGGGACATGCGGCCGCTGGTTCCGTGCCATGGCAGGCCTGCGCCTGCATCAGCGGGTCCATGCCCGCGCCCGGACAATGACCCTGCAGCCCAGATCACCACCTCCAGCCCCATCCCCAGCCCCCCAGCCTCAGCAGACTATCATGTGCACTGAACTTGGGGAGACCATCGCCATCATCGAGACATCCCAGCCACTGGCACTTGAGGACACACTGCAGCTGTGCCAGGCAGCACTGGGAGCCAGCGAAGCGAGCGGGCTGTTGCAATTGGACACGGCCTTCGTGTGACACCACGAAGAGCAATAATAAAACAGTTTGGTTGCAACAGCAAGTATGAACACCTCTGGGGAGGAAGGGGACCACCCCCCAGCAAGCCACTCTGGCACCCAGTGGGTGCCAGGATCCACCCTGGCCTCTTACCCACTAACTCCTCAGAACAGCCCTGCCAGGTTTCTCTTGTCGCCTTTCTCTGCCTGAAGGGAAATTGAAGCCCTGGGACGTGATAGGATCTGTCCCAGGTCACCCACAAAGCAGGGTTTGCCAGGGTTCTTTGTGTGACCCTGCTGCCCAGCAACATCAGGTCACCTTGTTTGAGCCTGGGCTGTGTGCTCAGATACGTGCCCATTATGTCTTCAGGTCCTCCGCTGTTCCCATAGCCCAAGGCTTCCTTGGATTCTCAGCACCCAGGACTCAGCTCTGCCCAGGAGGAACACATTTGACTTGTCTGGGCTTCCTTAATCTCATTTTTAACAATGTGAAAGGAAAGCTCTAGGTTCCCAGGGGGTGCTCAGTTGAAGATGTGATACTGGAGACCCAGGAATGAGTCAGACTCAGGCTCTGCCTAGGATGCCTGCAGTGTGGTAGGAGGAACACACGCAAGTACAGATGGCCTTACTAAGTGCTTCGCTGACTCTTTCATCTGGGATGTCCTTCCTGAGTGCTGGGCAATGCTTGGGGCTAGAGATGAGTCAGGCCTCCACCCTGCCCAAGGGCAGACCAATTGCAGGTCTGGGTTCCTCAGGGTTGCGGTAGGCATGCACATGGACAGTGGGCCCCAGAACAGGGAACAAAGCTGGGTGGTGGGAGGTCAGGAGTCAGAGACTTACAGAGGAGATAGGAATTTGCTAGGAGAACTTTCCAGGCAGACAGCATGGAGGGTGAGTTCTTAGTATACTTGGAGACTGTCCAGTTATTCACAATTACAATAACAGCGAACATTTGACTCCCTTGCCGTGGCAGGCACCGCAGTTACCACTGTGATCCCGATGGGCCCGTGAGGAGATCTAAGAATTACCCCTATTGTACAGCCAAGAAAATGGGCAGACTTGCTCAAGGTCCCACAGCTAGGCAGAGGCATTGCTGAGACTTCCACCAAGCCCATCCCTTCAGTCTATGTCCAGAACGAGTGAAACCTTTGTGGAGGTAGGGGCTCAGGGGGTTCATTGTAACTGGAGGAAAGGTGAGCTGGTGTCACAGAGAAGTTGGTGTTTGAGGGGTCTTTCAAAAGATCAAGTCTTGGGGGCAGAAAGGAATCCCCAGCCTTTCCAGATTCCTTTATGTGACAATCCTTCTGTCTCTAAACATGATATACGGCAGGTCAGGTCCATGGGCAGGCTCCTCCCAGGCCTCTGCAGATCCAGGTACTCTTGCAGGTGAGGCAGAATGAGGCAGGGCCGTGGCTGTGTGTCTGGGAGGGAGGGCTAGACCTCAGAAGGCCTTCAGAGCTGGGCTAAGTGGGGCAGTGTGAGAAAGGGTGGGTCCTAAATGGGGGTTTGGGCTCCCTGCAGTCAAGGTGGGGTGTTGGAGGAGACTGAAGATGGTCCAGGAAGGAGAGAACAGGCCAGAGCTGGGCAGAGGCTGAGGGGGTGGAAGAGTAAGGGATGGTGACCTCATGGCTGACCAGATGTGAGCAATGGGGAAGGGGTCTCTAGGAGCCCCAAGGCCTGCCTCTTGCCCAGACCAGCCTTCTTCCCCTACCCTAGTCCACTTGCTTTATATCTTCATGACACAAAAAAAGGTGATACCTAGACAGTGTTCAGCAGGGAAGGCCAGGGTTTGCTTTGGGCAGTATAGAGATGGCCCCTAGGGCTGGCCTGAGCATACAAAAGCCCAAATGCCACACAACGGTCCTTGAACTCCCTCTGCAACGTTTGAAACTCCTGTCTTTCTTGGCCAGTAAAGCACCTGTCAGTTGCTCCTCCCCAGACTGTTCCCCTGGGGCTTCTGCCCTGGCCCACAGCTGGCACCACATGGAGGAGGCACCGTTTCACTCTGCCAGTGGCCCCACCACCTGGCCCAGCATATTTCCTAAGTGAGGGTAAAAGCCAGGCTCTGCACTAGCCTCTCAGGAGTGTCGCTTCCCAGCATCCATAGAAGGTGGCTCAGGTAAGTGCCCTGTTTGAGACCTGGAAATGAAGGCTTGGGGATCTGCTAGTGTTTGGGGACAGCATCTCTGCCCCCATGCATGCCCACTGAATCTACATCAGGCTAAGTTTTGTGTCCTCCAAACCCTTGAAGCAGTAGGCAGCAGGGACTGAGACAGCTTTTTGTTCAAATCTTGACTCTTGCCATTTATGCCCTGTGGCCATGACCTCTCTGGTCCCCAGTTCTCTCCCTCCCTGGGTAGAAGCAGATAGTTCATGCTGGGTCCAGGGGCAGGCTCATCCCAGGCCTCTGCAGCATATAAGCCAGACCTGTTTATCCTCACATGGGAAGGCTGGGCATCTGAGCCAGGGCCCAGATTCAGGCCTCAGATGGCCCAACCTGGGTTCACTCTACCCCACCCCTGCCTGAGATACAGCCTGCTCCTGTCCCACCGGGCACCTCCCACACCTCCAGGGAAACAGGCAGCCAGACGTAAGCAGGTTTTCATGCCAATAATTTATTGAACGGAGGTCTGTACACAGGCAAACCTTACTGTGGAAACTACGAAGACATCAGGAGCCCAGGAGCCCCCCACCACCCCTACCCCGGCCCTCTAGGGTGGGGAGAGGAAGGAGGAGACCTTAGGGCAGAGGACAGGAGGGGACACAGCTATGGGAGGGGGAGGAACCAGGTTGGACGGTGCGAATTGACGTTTTCTTTAAGAAAAAAATTATAACAATCTATTTACACCCGGGGGGCGGGGGTGGGCAGGGAAGGGAAGAAGAAATGGACTGGTCTGGTTCTATTTACAAGGGACACAGGAGGAGGGGATGGGTTGGAGAAGGTGGAGGCCTGGGGGAAGGGAAGGGGGCCAAGGGGTAGAAGGTCCTCATGCCCCCAACCCCATCCATCCTTCCTTCTCTTCCCTCCCCACAACCAGTTGAAATCCTCTTAAAAAGCCCACCACAGGGGTGAGGCTGGTGAGGGAGGGACAGGAGGAGGGGACAGGAACTCATTTACCTCTGCCCTCTAGTCTAGGGGCTCAGCCAGAGCAGGAGCCACGCCCCCCTTCCCAGCCCCACTCGGGGCTCCCAGATAGAAGGGTAGTTGGCAGGGCCCTCAGGAGGAGTTAGTGAGGGGATCTGTGGGATCGGTTGGCTGCCATTCCGGGCTGGTCTGAGCCTCACTTAAAGCTGAGGAGGAAGGAGGAGCAGACAGTTAGCCTTTGCCTTTCAATCCCCACCCCCCATAAGCAGGAAGTCCGTGTGAGATGCTACATCAGAAATTGAAAGCTGTCATTTTAGGTCCAGGGTTGCAAACTCAAATGCCAAAAGAGGCCAGGTTGGTCACTGAGTGAATCACCAAAGAGCCAGGCCCCACCTCAAAGGGGACAACTAGAACTCAGCCCTGGGGAAAGGCAGGGCTGCCGTCCCATCTGATTTTCCTCCCCAAGAGAAACAGGAAATCTAGATTTGTACATGAAATGGCCCCAATTTTTAAATGTGGGCAACAAATAACTGTTTGTGTAAGCCAACGTCTTGGGCTTTCCAGTTAGCATTTCAACACAAACATAGGCGATAATGCCCAACACAAGTGACCATTCTCATGCTGTAAAATGTTTTCTGTATTTCAAACCATTAGCAATTCCTTAAGTGCCTACAGAAACCCAGGGGCTGTGAAAAGAGCACCCCCCTCCACTGAAAAATGCTGCTCTACCTGGACTTACCTTGTGAGGATGGGTTGAGGGTGGCAGTGCCCGCTGGGGACCTCAAGTGAGGAGGGATGAGAATGGCATTGAGAGATGGTTGGATGGAGAGTTCTAGAGAGAGGAATCACATTGCCTGGTCAGAAGGCAGGGCAGGGCATCTGCATACCCGGTTGGGGTTAGAAAAGGGCACTGAATAGGGACCCAGCTCTTGGCGAACACATGTGGCCACCAGACACTTCAAAGGAACAACTGTAAAGAGCCTCGCACAGGAGATCGCAAGGCATGGGTGAGTCAGGTTTGGGGCTCCATAAATTGTGGGGGCCTCTACCATGCCCAGGCCTTCCTTGCCACCCACCCCCTCAGCTTTCCAGATCCCAGACTGTGCCCTCACCACCAGGGCTGAAATTGAAGAGAGGGGGAAGCGAGCGGTTGTTGGGGAGCTGGATTCCATGACATCGCAGTTCATCAAAGAAGCTGTGGGCACAGGCTTCCAGCGGAGACAGCCTCGAGGACGGTGTGTACTCCAGTAGGCTGGAGCAGAGTGCGATGGCCTCGGGTGGTGTTCGAGATTTGAACACCTGGTGAGGAAGGGCAGAAGTCACAAGGGTGAGAGGCCCAGGGCACTGGCATGCTCCTGCACCTCACTGCCTCAGTGCTGGCAGCAAATATGACTGCCCACCTCCCCCAAACCCACTTCCCAAATGAGAAAACTGAGGCCTAACCACTGCAGGGAGCTCAGTTTGTATCAGTGAAACAGCCCACCAGGCCCCATGACTGTAGGGGCTCTGCTGTGTTTCCCCACTAGAAAAACAGGACTCTGGAATCAACTGTGGGTTCTCAACTTCTAGATTCCTAGAAATTCCATTAACTGAAATGTGACAAAAGTCACTGACAGGTGTCCAAGCCTTGACTCTTTTGCCACATCCCCAGACCAGTTGGTCTCCAATGGAGACCTCGGCCATGCTGCCTAAGGCCCTAGCCTTGCCCCACCTTTGTCCAGGGGTGAGCTTTAATCTGGGGGAACTTGAACTCCGTGTAGTTAGGGTTCATCTCTCGGATCTGTTCCCGGGTTGGTGTTCCCAGCACCTGCACGAAAAAGAGGGGTCTGAGCCAAGACTCCTATCAGTCAGCCCCACCCCTGCCCACCAGGCCCTGCCCTCACCTTGATGATCTCCACCAGCTGGTCTACCCCACTGTCCCCAGGGAAGATGGGCTGGCCCAGGAGGAGCTCGGCCAGTACGCAGCCAGCTGACCACACATCTGAAGGGGAATGGGGGAGGGTCAGGAGTACCATGCCCGTCCCCTCACAAACCCTTCTGTCCCTTATGATCATCCTGAGAGGGGCCAAGAGGCCCATAGTCTCAACTCAGAGAAGTGCCTTACTCAAGGTCACACAGTTTAGGAATACTGGAGCCTGATTTTGAACCTCCAGGTCTGCCTGACTGCACTGCACTCTCCAGTCCAGGTGAACAGCTGCGACCTGGTACTCTCACCCCTTCCTGGTCTATACCTCGACACCTGTGACACAAGTTCACACCTAAGGACCAGGCAGTTTCCGCACACCACTGAAGCATTTTCTCTTCCAAATCCTTCAGGCCCTCTCCTCAGGCCTGGAAGGTAGCACTGTTATCCCCACCGACAGGGAGGGACACAGAGCCCTATGGGCAGGTCCCACCCTGACAGCCTCACCTCAGATTCCCCCAAGGTCAGAATCAACCCTTCCCCCTGGAGAAGTGAGGGTTGACTGGGAGGTTCCAGAGCCAACACAGATTCTAGAGTTAGGTCAGCTTTCAAAGCCCAACCCTGCCCAGTCCCAGCAGTGTGACTGCAGGCAGGTGGCCTAAGCCCTCTAAACCTGAGACTGTACCTAAATCAACAGCAGAACCTTCCAAAATTCATGAGGACTGCATAAAAGAATAAACATTAAGCATTTCTCAGCAAGCCTGGCTGACACACAGAACTCAAAAACTGCCATGATTGCCATCCCCACCCCCACCCTCCCACAAGTCTGACCGATAGATGAGGTATAATCAGTGGCTCCAAAGATCAACTCTGGGGCCCGATAGTAGCGGGAACAGATGTAGGAGACGTTGGGCTCCCCCCGGACCAGCTGCTTTGCACTGTGGGAAGAGGTGGGCAGGAGTAAACACAAGGCAAGAGTTAGGGCCCCTCCTCACCCTGTCAACAGCCCAGCATACCCCAGGTCAGGCTCACCTGCCAAAATCACAGAGTTTAAGGACGGCAGTGTCAGGGTCCACCAGGAGGTTCTGAGGCTTGATGTCACGGTGACACACGCCCTGGGAGTGGATGTAGGCCAAGCTCCGGAAGAGCTGGTACATGTACACCTGGGACAGGCAGGGGACAGAACTCCAGCCTAGCTCTCCCCACAGCATGCCACTCTCTTAGTCTGAAGAGCACTTCCAGGCCCTCGCTCCAATTTGAAAACTCTTCCACACCCCTTGTTCTCATACTTTCATGTGCATCAGAATCACTTAGAGGCCTTATTAAAATAGGATTCCTGCCCTGGCTGGTGTGGCTCAGTGCATAGAGTGGAAGCCTGCGAACCAAAGGGTCACTGGATCGATTCCCAGTCAGGGCACATGCCTGGGTTATAGGCCAAGTTTCCAGTTGGGGGGTGCGCGAGAAGCAACCACACATTGATGTTTCTCTGCCTCTCTTTCTCCCTCCCTCCCCCTTTGTCTAAATACAAATAAAAAATTAAAAAAAAAAAAAAGGACTCTTGTGCCCTACTCCCAGTTTCTGATTCAGTAAGTTCAGGACGGAGCTTTTGCAACAACTCTCAGTGCTGGTGCTGGTCCACACCGTAAGAACTACCGACCGCTTCAGTCCCACACCTCAGCAGAAGCCTGGTAAGCCAAAGACACGAGGGAGGCCTTGGCACTCAGCTCACCCAAAGTGATTGGCTGGAAGAAGGGCTCAGCCTCCTTTACCCACCAGTCAAACCACCCACAAGCAGCCCCTCTCCAGCTGCATTTCCCTGCCACTCTCCCACTGACTGACTAGAACCTACGTGCCAAGAGAGCAGTGAGTGATCTTTGTGTTTCCATCAGTGCCTCACAGGGCCTGGCAAGTAGTAACTGCTCAAACCTGCTTCCTGAGCCCCCTCCTTCTCTGTTCTTGCTGCCCTTAGCCAGAGGTACCACTTCCTCACCCTGTGCCTGGTCTCCTCCCAGAAGCCTTTCTTGATCCCTCTTGCCCCAGAGCAGGCAGGGCTGGAGCCTTCTGTGTTTCCAGAATTCCGTGTGTTCCTTCTAGAGAAGCAGTTGCTAGCAGTTTTATAGTTAAATTGAGAGGCTTCAAGAGAGGCAAGGCCTGCATCTTAATCAACTGGGCCTCTGAAATTGCTCATTGCTGGGCTTGACACATAGGCAGCCACAGGACAGAAAACTCCCCTCCTGGGAAGCGAAGTCCCACAGAACCAACCACTGGCAGGACCCCGTGGCTCACCAAGAGGAGCAACTGGGCCCCTAGCAACCTCAAGCAAACCTGGACCCAACCACCTCCTCCCAAAGCAGCAAGCTGCCCCAGCCTCTTCTCCACAGGGTCTCTAGGCTTGCGCATGCATTCATTCATTCAAACACCTGCTGAGGGACAGAAACACCCAGGGCTCTCAGCACCAGGCACTAGGGAATGAACAGCAGAGACGATGGATGAAGGTGCCTGCTTTCCTGGCTCTGTAGACACTAACCGCCCTCCGACCCTGCCTCCTCCCACTCCTCCCTGAGACTTCACTGTGTCCCACCCCCTGTATTCTCTGCCACCAGAAGCCAATTCTGAGCTACTTCTTCCAACACCACTGGTGTCACTGGGCTCCCAGTAAAGACCCAAGCAGGTACCTTACAGCCTCCCCAGCCCTGGTAAGCCTGCCTCCCTGATTCAGTCAAGCATCAGGTCGGGCTGCCCTGTACTTGGCAAGCTCCGTCTCTAGGACAAGGGCAGGAAGCACAAGGCCTCCACAGACCAACATAAACTTGGAGAACAAAGGAACCCACAGAAGGCAGGAGGGTCCAGAGTTCCTGCTTTGTGGGCCTGGGCCCCAGCAGCCTGCCCGCCTGCCCACCTGCCTGCCTGCCCACCTTGACATAGATGATAGGGATGGTCAATTTGGCCTTGGTGAAATGG